ACACACACACACACAAGTCCATGTTCACGCGCACGGAGTCACGCAAAGTGGGGCCTAAAATCTTAATCTAGATTATTCTAATTGGAGTTTTCTGAAGACAACTAACGACTGAAAATTTTGATTATTATACGACTATTAGGAACGTTAATATATCTCCAAGGTGCACATAATTTGGATTAAACGTAAAAACCTCGATGGTATTTTAAATCCAGTCTTCCATAAGTATTTCTTTAACGCAAATATTATGGTATTTATGTCTTTAGTGACTAAAACACGCACAATTTCCTCTCAAAAAACGTTTCTCTTGACTCAGGCTCAGTCAACAAAGACTAAATCCAAGACCCACAGCGTCCAATAAACAGGACAAATAAGAGTAAACATAAGAAAACAGGTTAATGAGCACATAACGGTGCGTAAAACTGGAATGGAGCCCTTCCGAGGCTGTGCTGCTGGTGTGGAAGAAAATCAATCCGCCTCATATCGTTCCTTACTTCCTTCACAGCTAATGACATGAATATATTTGTCATGTAAATCTGTAAATTACATTAGTGTGCGCAGTTTTCTCCAAACATTTGTGAATGCGTAAATTAACACCGCGTTCATATTCAAATTCAATTCAAATCTGTTTGAAAAGGCGTCAAAGAAACCAAAAACACGCGTGTAGAAACGTGTTTTTTGTCTTTTAGTAGCTGCAGCATGGTGAGAGGAAAGCGGTCACTATTCGTGCATTCAGTAACCCCACCGCTGTAACGCGTTACTCAGTAATCTGTTACCAGCTCCGAGCTCTCCCTCCATCCCGACAGGTGGCTCCCCGCTACAGTGTAACACAGCAGGAGGGGCTGGAGAGTGTGTGAGTGTGTGTGAGAGAGAGGATACACCACACAGGACAGTTCAGTTACCTTTATGATCAGTTTGCTCTCATGGTTGTTCAGGATGCTTCCGCTCTTATTTTGAAGGTATGTTATGTTGATTGATGTGGAGGAGGATCATTTACAATATCAATTCCTAATTCCTGCCTGAAAACTGTTTGAATCTACTTTAAATTAAAGCTTTAAAAACAAGATACAACATACATTATTCTTTCTTTTTTTCCTAAAACTTCTTTTTTTGGCTTTGTTGATGTGTCTTCAAGTCATTATAGGACATTTTAGAGGCTGCTTTGTTCACCTTAAACTCAATTCTGCTACTTTTCTGCAAGCTTTCTCCTCTTGCACCCAAACTTCACACATTCTTGGACACGTCCTGCCTGTTCCGACTGGTTTCGGCAGTGTGACTTTTTAGAGATTTTAGGACACCATGCTGTGTGGTCACTTTAAGCTCTTCCACAGTCCTCCTGAGTTGAGTGCAGCTGACGTATACGCTGCCATTGTATCAGTCTTTTGTTGTTTGCAGCCCTTGCATGGAGAAGCTATGGATTTAATGGTCTCTGGGCTGCGTTAAACTGGTTTTTAATCCCGCAGCAAATGGGAGTGAGCTCAGTGACGGAATCATGTTTAAACTTTAATGTGTAGCTGGTTCGACAACACACAGATGGGGGCAAATGTTTGCATTTACTTTTCTCTTTTTTTTTCTGTTTGAGCTGTTTAAGTTTGACACGATGAAACTGGGTTTTGATTTGACGTCTTTCTGCTTCAAAGTGGATTAAAATGTCACAAACTTAATATTTATAGGTCACAAGTT